TCTCTGAAAGACTTTACCCAACATTGTATAAAAGTAGATAATGAGACTCATAAACAAACTTTGGGCAGCATGAAGGAAATCTTAGGAAAGAAGGGGAAGATAATAAGAACTGGAGAGGACAGGAGCTCCACAAGCATAGCAACAGAACCAAAATATCTGGGCACAGGGGTCTTTTCTGAGACTGATACTCCAAACAAGGACCATTCATGGATATAACCTAAAACCCCTGCTCAGATGTAGCCCATGGGCTGTCTCTGACATGAACTCAGTGGCTAGCTCCTGGATGGGGAAGCAGCCTTGCCAAGCCACAAAGGAAGACAGTTCAGCCAGTTTGGATGAGATCAGATAAGCTAGGTCAGATGGAAGAGGAAGAGGACCTCCCCTATCCATGCACTTGGAGAGGGGCATAGGAGGAGATGAGGGAGGGAGGGTGGAATTTGAAGGGGAGAAGGGAGGGGCTACAGCTGGGATACAAAGTGAATAAACTAATTAATATAAAAAATGAAATTTTAATTAAAAATAAGTTTACAACATAGTTCAACAAATGTTCCTGTTGTGCGGTTGAGCATTTTTCAAATATATGCCCAGAAGTGGTATAGCTGGGTCTTGAGGTAGCACTATTCCTAATTTTCTGAGAAAGCATCAGATTGATTTCCAAAGTGGTTATACAAGGTTACATTCCCACAGAAAAGGAAAAGATCTTCACCAACCCTACATCTGACAGAGGGCTAATATCCAGAAAATATAAAGATCTCAAGAAATTAAACACCCACAAACCAACTAATCCAATCGAAAATGGAGTACAGAGCTAAACAGAGACTTCTCAATAGAGGAATCATGAATGGCAGAGAAACACTTAAATGAATGCTCAAAGTCCTTAGTCACTAGGGAAAGGAAAATCAAAACGACCCTGAGATTCCACCTCATATACATCAGAATGGCCAAGATCAAATCTTCCAGTTTTTACTAAATGATTTTTCCAATGTATTCTTTAACTTATTCTCGTTTTTATTTTAAAATATATAATTTTAATGTAATATGACATCCTATGAAGAGTCTGTTATACTAAAGGTGTTCAATGTGATGTTTGGTATGCATATATGTAATTCTGCATTTATCTCAATCATAATCTTTAATGTTTCTATTATCCAACATTTTGACCCGAGATTCCCTGAATCAGTTCATCTTATAACCGATGAGCAGTTTCCTGTTCTTCCTACCCAAAGACCTGTAAGCATGAATGGACTTCCACCCCCAGATTTCTAGCTATTAAATGTTCATGATTATAAACACCCTTCAGTAGTAAAACAGGAGCCAAAATGAATCAGGATCAGTGCTCTTTTCAGGAATAGCTTCTGGGTATGCTATCCAAGTGTGCTCTATCATTCTTCCCCATTCATTTAATCAGTGTTGCTGCTCCACTGACTTGACCAGGCTACTGTTTCCCTGAGGTCCTGCCTCAGCGAAGACTGATGAGTAATTGGCATAGACACACAGGAAACAGTAGCTAAAATGATGAATTACAGATCTAAACCTAAATTCCTGGATATGAATTGTCATATATGCTAGCTTTTTTATAACATCACTTAGAGAAGAGGCACTTTATAGGTGCCCAAGGATCACAACTGAGCAACAATTTGTTTTAGAGGATGAGACGGCAAGTGTCCTGCAGAGCAGTCAGTTCTCCGTTACGCTTTCTGTGCAGTGAGTAAAAAAGCATAACACTTCACGTTTCCTCCCTAAATGAACTGAATAACAGTCCTAATATTTCATAGGGGAAAGTAATTTTAAAGCGATTTTCCCAGAGCACACATAGGAAACTACATCTTTGCTTTGATTTTAAGTCATTATTTGTTCTACACCATGGCTGGGTGTCAAACAACTGGTCTTGTCATGTCATCTCTACATTCAATTATTTCAAAATTATTCCAGTAAATACAAAATAGAGATGAGAATATGATTTGGGAATTTTTAATCCCAAATCTCTATAAATCTACAACTCTTTCACTCTAGACAACCATTTCTTGGGGTTGATAATTTTAAATAATGTGTCAATTTAATCCAAACCCTTCTCCATACTTGTGGATCAAACAAATCACTGATACAACCATTATATCAACCATTATATCTCAGACACCTCTACAGTATATTCTATAAAATACAAGCTAAATGAGAATGCCATTTTAAAATTCAACAAAGTGAACTGTAATTATGTAAGACCCAGTCAAATCATATTCTCTCATTAATTCAGAAGATCTCTCAATTCTTTTTATAAATTAATTTTTATTTTTTTAATATTAATCACAGCTTATTTACTTTGTATCCCAGCCGTAGCCCCCTCCCTCATTCCCTCCTAATCCCACCCTCCCTCCCTTATCTCCTCCCTGTCCCTTTCCAAGTCCACTGCTAGGGGAGGTCCTCCTCTGCTTCCATCTGACCCTTCTTTATCAGGTATTTTCAGCACTGGCTGCAGTGTCCTCCTCTATGGCCTAGCAAGGCTGCTCCTCCCTTGGCGAATGGGGGGAGGTAAAGGAGCCAGTCATTGAGTTCATGTCAGAAATAGTTCCTGTTCCCCTTACTAGGGAAACCTATTTGAATACTGAGCTACCATAGGCTACATCCGAGCAGGGCTTCTAGGTTATATACACATTAAAATTTATTTAACGGGTTACATAACAACATAGACATTGTACATATAAACTGAGTTAAATCTATATATCCCTGTGAAATCCATCATTTCATCACAGTAAAAATAGTATTCTAACTACAATGAGTTTATATAGTTTTAAGTAAATGCTCCTACAAGGGTGACACATTGCATTTATCTATTTTATTTTAATTTTATTTCATTTTATTATTTTTTGTCGTTGTTTTATTTTTCAAAACAAGGCTTCTTTTTATAGTCTTGTCTATGCTGGCACTAGCTCTGTAGACCAGGCTGGTCTCAAACTTAGAGATCTGCTTGCATCTGACTCTTGACTGTGCCACCACCACCAAAACACATTTAGCTGTTTTATTTTGCAGTAATCTTCTTTGTGCTTTCGATCATGCTGACCATCCACAGAATAATGCTGATCATGGATCCTATAGTATTCTCCATGCTTATTTTGTTATTTGCCACTTTTTTCCTCCTACTGAAACTTGTTATAAAATTTCAAGAAGTTCCAAATCAGTAAAGCTTATTTATGTAATCTCTCTTTACAAAAAAAAATCAAATATATTTGAAATTATTATATCCACCTTACCACACAGATTTTAAAACCTACAAACAGAAATTCTTCTCATTATCTCACATGCATGGGTATGTGTGGGATAAGATGTAAGGGAGGAGAGAGGAAATGAACCCTTCAGGGCTGGCATTGTACTTCTCTCAGCATCGCATCCAGAGGGACAGACTGTCCATTTTTTATGTATATTGATGCTAGAGATCGACCAAGGACTTAGGTATCCCATGTAACCCTCCCCTGTATCACTCACTGTTAATAACTTTCCCTGTATTCATGCATTAGTAAATATAAATGCTTTCTTCACTGCTTTGATTATTCTTATGCTACTGAATATTCAACAACTGTCTTATTGAGAGCCATTTTAAAGTAATTTAAATGATCTTTACATTTTATTTATTTATTTATTACAATTTATTCACTTTGTATACCCGCTGCAGCCCCCTGCCTCATCTCCTCCCCGGCCCACCCACCATCCCTCTTCTCTCCCTAAGCCCTTTTCCTTGTCCCCTGATAGGAGAGGACCTCCTCCCCTTCCATCTGACCCTACCCTATCAGTCTCATCAAGGCTGGCTACATCATCTTCCTCTGTGGCCTGGTAAGGCTGCCCCCGGCCAGGGAGAGGTGATTAAAGAGCCAGCCACTGAGTTCATGCCACAGGCAGCCCCTGTTGTCCTTACTAGGGAACCCACTTGGACACTGAAATGTCATGGGCTTCATCTATGCAGGGTTCTAGGTTATCTCCATGAGTAAAGGAAAACTTTATACAGTGACCCCTAACGTATAAATGCTAGGATAAATACACATGAAAGACAAACTTCAGAAGTTATCTTCATAAATTTTTCAAGGGGTATCTGGCAAACCAGCTGCAGGTAAAATGTTCTGAGAAGTTTTAATCCCACATGGATAAACAATGACGAACTAGAGAGGGTAAGAGAAAATATAAACATCATTACGGTCTGCTTCTTAAATTTACAATATTAAAGGGGAATGAGCATTTAGCATGCACCAGTGTCTCAAAATATGGCTGAGAATTACTACAGAGAGCATAAGTCTGAATACAATTAGGCTATAGATGGTACATTAAATGAAGTATATTTTGAATTTAGAGACATAATATTTAATATAAATTCAAACTAATACAAATATGGTGTGTCCTCAAAGTTTATGTGATACGAATTTACTTATCACTTATTATAACTACAAATGTACATTTGAAGGTATGTCTATGGCTGCTTTTCATCACTATCAGCTTTTAGGTCGCCTTGCACTATCAGCATTTATCTATGTTGTTAGGGATGTTGTGAATAAAATTTAGACTAACAAATCTAGATCAACAATGCTTTCATTTGTCTGAAAGTGAACCATGAAAATGATATGGTCACCATTATATTGTTCCCCTTCAAACATAAAATGTTAATAATTTAAATTGTTACCTTTTTAATTGGAGCATTTCTCCCTTTGGAAAGATTTTGTGTGTTGTTTTATTTTACAGTTGTGTTATTTGATAGTTGTTAGCTGGATTTACATTTATATTGAAGGATTCAGAACACTAAGCTTGTTCATTACACACAGATGATGAAAGGAGAAGCCTAGCCATGCTCTGAAGAGTGGCTCGCTTTACTGTGACAGCTGCACTTAGAGCTAATTGACTGGAATCAGGGTCACAAGCTGTGGGTATTTATTGGGGGTCACAAGCTGTGGGCATTTGTTGGGGTCACAAGCTGTGGGCATTTGTTGGGGTCATATTGCTGTAGGCATTTAGCCAGTGCTTACCTGGGGGTTGAAGATTCTGTTCCTCTAAAAATTCTAAATCAAGCATTAGATCATCTTCATCCAGTTCACAGGATCCCAAATGATTTAGAACATCCTAAAAGAAAAGTAAAAGTGACCAATGAGAGAAAGCACAGAGGAGCTACAGAGTTAGCCATATGTACGAGCCATGAAGAAAACACTGACTAGATCAGAAATTGGCTCTTGTTACTTCTGGTTCTATTGCTCTAATAAAATCCTTTGTTTTCTAAACTTTTAAACTTTTCCTATTACTTGCTTCCCTTAATTATTCCAGCCATTTAAAACTGATAAAATATAATTTTCAAATATGAAAGATATAAAAAAATTAATAATGATCCTAAGGCATGAGAATAAAATTGTTTGTTTTCACACAAATAAACTTTTGTTGCCATAAAATGATAGATTTATGAGTTATCCCAGAAGCAAAAAGACATATACTCACTTATAAGTGTATATTAGACATATAATATAGGATAAACATACTAAAGTCTGTATGAAGACCTAAAGAAGCTAAGCAAGGAGGAGGACCCTGGGTAAGATGATCAATCCTCATGCAGAAAGGCAAAGGGGATGGACCTTAGAAGAAGTTAAAAACAGGGAACAGAGTATAGTTGAAAGACTTTACCCAGCAAGGTATCAAAGGAGATGCTAAGACTCATAACCAAACTTTGGGGAGAGTGCAGGGAATCTTGTGAAAATAATAGATTTTTACATATGTAAAAAGAGTGTAATATTTTTCAAATACACATATGCCTATAAATGAAGGCTTAGTTTCATTTTTATAATATTTCTAGTTTTGGCCACATTATCAGTGTCATACATAGGTCCCATTTCATGGAATGGACCTAGTATGCAATTTTTAAAAGTGCTTCATTGTCCCATAACATTTGTGTCACTAATCACTGCAGGCCAGTCACTGTTATAGGTTGCTGTGTTTATAGTTGGATAAAATTGATGATTACTTTTCTCTTCCAGTAGCTTGAAGAGTATGTTTCATCACCATGAATGCTTCTCAGTAGGGGTAGATGAATACTTCCATGTTTGCTGACATAAGCAAGTTGTGTCTTCAGCTTAGGGCTTTACCATCAGGTTATGAAGATTTACTAACAGCCATGGCAATACCCTATGGTGTGTGTGTGTGTGTGTGTGTGTGTGTGTGTGTGTGTGTGTGTGTGTTGGGCAGGGGAGGGGGGCAGATTTATGGGATCCCTTTGGCCAATGACTCAACAAAATATAAAGCATTCCTGATACTAGGGGTTTTAAGTTGGTAAGTACAATATGTCTAAGTGGGGATTTAGCCCCCTATTATAGGATAACTTCATTTAAAATTGTTCATATAAATATATATTTTAAGAAGCTTCTCCAGTAGTAGATTTCTATATTTCCAAGATCTTTGACATGACCCTCCCTCATTTAATTCTCCCAATCTAGTTTCTAAAAACAGTCTACAGTTAAAGACTATCCTCATCAAAATTCCAACATATTTCTTCACAGAGAGTAAGAGTCTTCATCATCATAAGGAAACACACACACACCAACCAAATTAAAAAACAATAACAGCATAGCCAAAACCATCTTAAATAATAAAAGGAACTGCTGGAGGCATTAGCATCCCAGATTTCACGTTATATTTCGGAAAGCAGCATGGCATTAGCATAAAAACAGACGCACTGATCAGTGCAGTCAAGCTGCAGACATGCAGACATGCTCATGGATACCCATGTTTACATAGAAAAGTACACACTGGAGAAAGGGCAGCATTTTCACCACAGGGTGCAGATCAAGCTGCTGTGGAACAATGAAACAGATCCATATCCATGCACAGCAAAGGCCACCACCATCTAAGCAAGGCGGGAGCCTACATAATGTGAAAAATCATTACCCATTATATATCTGATGTATTTTTCTATAGGTACTGAGTCAAACAAATAGCCAGCAATATTTTGAAGAGTGAAAAAAATTAATTTCCAGTACAAGACCAACCACCTTTTACAATAATTCAAGAAAGAATACTTTATGTGTTTTGAGCTTCTGGGACACGGTTTGTGCAGCACCCTTCCCTTCTAGTAGGAACTGTTCTACACGGACACTATGCTCAGATTCTGGCATGAGCCAATACCGTGTTCTTGTGTTCTTGGTAGATGGTGCAAGATCAGTCTCTCAACCACCTCGGTGACCAGAACACTTGCTCAGAAATGAAAATAATTTCTTTCTTGGCCTGGTCATCAACAGTGCAAGAGGCAAAATGCCATTTGAGCAGGGACCCTGTGGTTTTTATAGAGGAGTCCTATACAGGCAAGAGGAGTCCTGTATAGGCTATAGGAGTACTCGGGTCCCAGCCTCACAGAAATAGGTTTTCTGGTTGCTGCTCTCTGCAGTTTTCAAGGTCCAGAGACACAGATGATGCTTTTAATTTTGGGCCCATTAAGTCCCTTTTGAATTTGTTGAGACATTGAGCCATTGCTGGGGAAAAAAATAACTTTTTCAATACACTTTTTTTTTTTTCAATATAGAAACTTTCTCAGGTATTCCAACATTTTATATAGAAGTGTTTAACTAATAAGTGGTCAAATAAAAATTGGGAAACTCACTACATGGTTTTGATGCCTTTCTCAATTGTGGTTCTCTCTTGACAATCAGGCCTATGTTTCATTTCTCACAGATCTATATGCATTGTTTTAAATCCCCTCACTCTGAATGATTTAGTGTTAGTGTGATGAAGCTCTTGAAAGCTGTAGAAACCACAGAATTAAAAAAAAGGGAAGATTTAAAAAATGGTATTTTAAGACATAAAGGTGATCATACAAATTAAAAGAGTATACATTTTCTAGATCTTTCCAGAAAAGACATCCGTAGCAATACATTACTTTTATTCACAACCATCTCTCTGCAAAATTCTGTCACTGTAAAACTTGTCTCCCTATATCCATCAATATAAAACTTGTTTCTTTGATTTTTAGTATAGTTGGAGTGAAAAAAATAGAGAGGAAGAGAAGAAAGGAGAGACAAAAAAAATTTCTATAGCAATCCCTTGTTGACACAAAATAAGTTCTTTCTAATAAATAAATAAATAAATAAATAAATAAATAAGTAACAAATTTAAAAGTCAAAAGATCTTCAAGGGTAGTTAAGAAATACAAGTAGAATTACTTCACCAAGCTTATCTCTGATGATATGAGGATCAACAAAACAATAACCCATATGGCTACATGGAACAATTTGAGTCTGCCACACATGAGCTCATAACAAAAGCCAATATAATAAATTTAGGAAGTATCAATAATCAAAAATAAAAAGCACATACATTGGCCAATTTTCCATTATTGTAGCAAAATACCTGATATGTTCACCTTAAAAAGAGCAAAGTTTTATTTTACCTTATTGCTTCAGAGGAGTCTGAACTGCTTTTGATAGGCTGGATGGCTTGTTTTGATAGACTTTAGGACTGCGGTGAAGCAGAACCCCTTGCTGGGAAGTATAAAGTACACTAAAGCTGCTTGAATCATGTAACTCAGCTTGATGGGGGGGGATAGAGGTGGGAGAAAGGGAGGAAGGGAGAGAGGGAAAAAGAGAATATATGAATATCTCCATTAATGACACACTTCCAATCAACTAAATGCTTACCAAAGGTTTTCTAAAATCTACTTCTGAATGGTGTAATGGGATAAGAGCAAGATCTTGGGGACATCTAAAATGTAGTCCATAAAAACAGTGTGGGAAACCTTTAATTTCCATTGTCTGGGATTTTTTTTTTAATTAAACATTCGCTACAACTATTACGTTCCACATTTTTCTAGCCATGCAGGAAAGTGGGGTCTCAAGCCATTCTGTGTAGGAACAGAAAGGGCACCTCAGCACTAATGGATAGTCACACACAATATTCAAGAGGAAAGAAATGCAGCAGTCAATTAATGTAAATGATTGCATCTCAAATGTAAGAGTGCACAACTGTGTGCTTCAGACTTCTGCTAAAACAAAAACAAAAGCAGAATGCCCCCTGACAATTAAGTGATGACTAAGCAGCAACAGTCCCTCATCTCCTATGAGGTATAAATGCTAAATAACAAGGAAATAATGAGAAACCATGAATATTTAATGGTGTTGATACACAGTTCTATACATCTTAATAACAGGAACATTACTGTATAACACTAAGAATTGCAACATAAAAAATCATTTTATGTGAGGGCACTGCAGTATTGTACAAAATTAAAAGCTAAGATTGAACATCTTTAAAAGCGCATAAACGCATATAATAAGTAGAGTTCAATCATAAAATGCAAGTCTTAAGTAAAGGTCACAATCTAGGGTTTATATTTTTTCTGAATATACAACAAATACAAATGAATAGATAAAATCTCATCAAAAACTAACACCTGCAGATTTAAGAGATTCTTTCTTTCAGTTCTTAATAGAGAATGGTTATTAAATCCTGAAAAATGCTAAATGCAGACATAAATGTTTCTCAAATAGCACAGAATTAAAAAGTGGGCATCTACAAAGTGCAAGAACAAGGAAAATGATGAGAAGAAATATAAAAGCTATAAAAGAAGGTTCAAGGGAAACATCCTGACTTGGATTTAAGCATGCTCCACAAGACAGAACTCAGTACCCTGTGGCATTACCTTAGCCTAAACCTGTGCCTGGGTAGGTCATAGTGCAAGTGGAAGAACATAATACTACAAATTGGCTAAACTGTCATGGCATTAAACTTTACCCTAGGCTATCTTTATATCCCTGGGTTAATGTATTTCTCATGCCTCATCAGAGAGTCTTCCTTACGCAGTTGATGAGAATTAATACAGACACTTAACAAATGACGAGCATATACAGAGCAAGAGATTGCAGATGGCTCAGCTTTAAATAGGACGACTTAAATCATATATCCTCCCCACTCAGTTCAGGGATCATTGTAGAAAAAGTGCAGAAATATTGTAAGATTCAGAGGTAGTAAATGGCTACAACAAAACGAAACTTGCTGGACATGACTAGGTCATTGCTTTCAAGAATTCACAGTGCTGTGACTGGAGGCACAAGACCTACACAAGATCAAGCCAACTGAAATTCCTGCATGGA